TACATACATACATACATACATACATACATACATACATACATACATACATACATACATACATACATGCATGAATTCGTACAAACAAACAAGCATACTTACTTAAAGTATACATTTACGTACATGCATAAATATATATTTAGGCATACAGACATGGAACATGTAGATACACACATTTTTTCACAAATACAGACGTTAATGCAAACTTACTTGTGCATTAATAAATACAATCATATAAAAAGATACTAGCACACATTTGCATAGTTGTGCATAGAGGCAAGCATACCTTATTATGGCCATAGTTTCACGCACACACAAACACACACACAAGTATTGAATTTGATTAAATTTCCACTTTGTGTACGGCCCATTGACTCATGGAATGTGCCGTTCGTCGAGGTACTCTTGAAAGGGTCAATTATGAAAGGGTCCGGGATTCGAATGTTGTTGGAGGTGAACCCCAAACCTGCTTCACAAGTTACCAGTTCTTGTGTCGACTGCGGCATGTGCGAGTGGCGTATGTTCGGGGCAACAGTCCGCTTCTCCCCGTCGTTGTGACTTAATGTGTATGTGCGTGTGTGTGTGTGTGTGTGTGTGGACCGAGGCGGTGTCGCGAGGCTGACATCAGCCTTGGCCCACGTCCCGTCCCCCGTGTCGCCGCGCCAGTGGGCCTGGCCGGTACCGCTGGGGCTAATTTGCCCACGCTAGACAAGATTGACACGAGCCCCGCAACACAAGTGTACAGCTGAGCAGACGCCCTCCACACCGGCTCCATCCCCACCTCTGCCCGAGTCTGTGTGTGTCAGCTGGTCTTGGACGCCTGTCGTCAGGCCGACCGAGTTCGTCTGTCTGGAACTCTCACGACGACAACAGTCTCGAGTCTCTTGCCTCGGGCGACAAGATAGACAGCCTCTTCTTTCATGCTGTCAGGACGACTGACTGTTTTGCATCACTGTACATCGACAAACACACACATACACACACAGAAACACACATTTCCGCAAGTTTCAGGCGTTGAAAATAGAATCGCGAACACGAGGCAACTGAAAAATAAACTGAATTTCCGGAAACATTGCCTTCTTTCTCCTCGAAAGAGGTTGCACGACCAACATCGGACGAGACCTCAAACGTGAGAACAGCCAAAACAGTCGGTCTTGGAGACGCGCCTCTGAGAGGCTTTCCGAGTTACCCTTCATCTTCTTCGTTTTGGTACTTTTCCCCATTCCGCCAAATAGTCTCTCTCGCCTCCGCATTACCCTTCCTCTGCCTCTTCCTCTTCCTCCTAACTCGTATTCTTCTTCTCCTCAACCGTCTTTCGTCTTTATCCTTTTGCTTCTATCTGTTCTCCTCTTCTCCGATGCTTCGGCTTTCGTCTTTCGTCTCTTCTGCCCTGACAGACATCGTCAGAGCAGGAAAGTCGCCATGTTTAAAAACAAAAAATATGCTTTGTCCACTTCATCAGATGTTTTATGCTTTAAGTTGACATGCTTTTCATTCGCTTTCATGAAGCGAGTGGAAGTATTTCGTAAGTTTGTCTCACCGGAAGCAGTTGCGGCTGTAGATTTTGGCAAAAGGGTAGTTGGCTCAGGATCTCGCAACTCGAGTCAGTCTGTACTCATTATCTGTCCACCATCGTCAGAGTAATAGGCAATGCTTTTTGATAATTCATCAAGCAGAAAAATAAAACTTATTTGCACAAAGGTGGAGTCGCTGATGGTCAAAGCCAATCCTCCTTCAGCTTCTAATCGCCTCTTTAAACGAAACGAAAGCTATGCCAGCACCATTGAATTAATGGAGTCTTTGAGCTTTTCTGCATATCTCCTGATTTTGTGGACTATTATCTGTTAAGATAAGAATTCCTCTCCACTTAGGTGGCATAGGGTGAAGAAAAAATTGTTGTTTAATATTTCCAAAAACCGTAAATTGTGACTTATTTTCGTTTTCAGGTAAGTTTTCAGGACTAATAATAAATTGAAAATATGAGTTGTTTTCAGCTTAATTCGCTAAAGGTGATGAAGGACTGGAAATGAAATTTTCCCATAAGCATAAAAAGCTTCATCGAAAATCCCAACAAAGAATTTGAAATGAAAATGCATAACTTTTATAGTAATTCACATACGCCCTGTGAAAAAGGGCATTCGTGGTAGTATGGCGTAGTAGTTAAAGAGTAGAGATAACACGCTGAGCTGTATGGTTCAGCTCTCAAAGTGGCTTTAAAAAGAACAAACGGAGGTGGAAAATAGAGTCCACTGCTACAAGGATGATAACAATAATTGGGAAAGAAAGATTATATGCAGATGGATCTGATATGATCTGATCTGATCTGAGCTCAACTCAACTTATATCATCTCATCTCATCTCATCTCATCAAATCTTATTTCATCTCATCTCATCTCATCTCATCTCATCTCATC